CGATGAGCGCTCCAACTCAATTCCAGCATCGGGCCCGTTGAGCCGAACTGCGTTCTGTGTACCAATTATTGGACCATCTGTGACGATCAGGAGCGATGTTGCGTTGCTGAGGGTTCCTGCGTCGATCCGAAGTCAACTGCGCGGGTCAGAGGGCCTCCGCGTCAAGGAGCGGACCAATTTGATATGATGTATCTCTTTGGGGGCCTCCGGATCGGCCAGGGGATCCCGCCCTGTGTCGTCAGAATGACAGCCGGAAGACACCACGCGTTGGGACGGAGTAGCCCTTCAGGCCTTGACGGAGAATAAAAATATGCGCCTCAGTGTTCTTTTTAAGAGAACCGATCTCCCTTGAAAGAAATGAGGGGTCTCATAAGTGTTGAATACGCATGTCGAAATGAGTTAAAAACGAACAAGGCCATCCTATCTTTGCCTCGGAACATTTATTCCTTTGCAGAATCGACTTGTGAAGCAAATAACATCAAAAGGTTGAAGCCTGCGCACCCGTAGCCTCGGGAGTAAGAACAGTTACTGACCTGGGTTACAGTTTCCGTAAAACCGAACGACGTTGGCTAATGCAAATAACGCCTGGCGGCGGGAGCCATGTGCGAGAGAACGACCGTCGTAAAATAATAGTTTTAAATGCCTTTCAAAATTAATTCGTTCCGCTCCAAAATCAGACAGGGTGCATCTTTTTAACAAATTTAAGGCTGTCCGCTGGACAGATGAATAGTTGCGGCACCACGAAAAATATATATTTTACCTTTGCTCTTCCATTTTCGTTACAAAATTCCAACAACATTTCGCGCTACGTAAAGACCAATCCGTTATCATCTTTTTAAAAATCCCACACGTGAAAACGCCCGGACTTTCTTTTAAATGTTCGACTGAGCGCCTAAAGCGTTCTAAAGTACTTTTTCCGGTGCGTGATCATTTTCGTCCACCCGTTGGCCACGGCTTAGTGTTGACCCGTCGCGGCGCGGCCTACGTCTAACGTGGAGGGTTCTGCTGTTAAGATTTGCGAGTGCGCATGCTCACAACCGCGCTACATAATTTTATCACTAACCGATTCTGACCGAATCCTGAAAATTTCCAGACAAACTTGGTCCAGCCATGTTAATCCAAATTGTTGACCCAAATTGTTGTACTTTTATTGATTGAGCCGTAAGGTCGCGCAGACTACCTTTTGTCCTAGCCATGGAAGCCCCCGCCAGCCGGGATGTTGACAGCGGTGGCACTTCCGCAACGACTTGATGACTTCCCTCCCGCCAACTCGATAGAAAACTGTGTACCCTTGTTTCATGTGGCAAATGCAAAAGTGCGCTGTGAGAACATAATAGCAGAAAGAAAATGTAATGCTGGACACCGCTCCCTGCTGTATGGCATGCGCAGCCTCATTCTTTTTACATAGCATCTCCCGGGCAGCAGCGCAGCTCATTGCCATTAAGTCTCCAGTAAGGTTTGGCAGGGGTATAGGATCGCAGCCCTCGGGGAGCGCCCCGAGCCGTCAGTCGTAGGTAAGGTAGGGCATTACGCCTTTAGCCGTTTCCAGCGGCTCAAAGGGAGGACGTGGGATATACAGGACGATTACCTTGTCTATCGGGAGCTAGGACCTGGCTGCCCCTCGCCCGCGCCCCAGGCCCGACCTCGGCTCGGTCTCATCAACGGCCACCACTGATTGGCCAGGGGTCGAGGTCACGTGACTGTCACTGGCCCGCAGCGCCGGCGATCGCGGCGGGCGCGGCGAGCGACGCATGGCGCGGCCAAGTCGCCCATTACAGTGCACGTTAGCTCCGCGTTGCATTCCGGTATAACATTGTTCCCCTCCCAAAGGAGTTTTCACCCCGAAGAAAACGAATCATTCTGTTCATGTATATGGGCTCTCAACCATCGGAGTACCTTGCCCATAGCGTTGACATGCTATAAGCCTATAATACAAAATCTTCAAAACGTGTCGGTCTCCTCCGCACCCGTGACGTCACTGGGACAAGACTCTTCCATGGAGGCCTCTGCCGGCAGGGTAGTGGCCGAGGCTGTGGTCCCTTGACCTTCATGTACATCTGGCTCGCCAGTGGGATTAGCCGCCGTCCAGCTGAACCTCGGTGGAGCCGACATCTTCCATAGTCGCTTGAAGTAGACGACCTTGTGCGCCAAACTTTCTTCCTTTTTACGCAACGCGTCATGTGCGATAGGCCGGTCAGCCAAAGAATATGCCCCAACCCAGCTTGGTGAGAATTTCGAGCACTGGCCTGTTATTCTCGCGGGATGTACAGCCACACTTTGTCACCCGGGCTCACGACTGCTTGGGAGGGCTTTCCATCACACATAAGCTTCATTGCCTCGGAAGCGACCCCAAGGTCGTTCCGCACATGGTGGTACACCTCGATAAGGCAACACTTTAGGGACCGTCCCAGCCAGTATGTCTAATTATGACTCATAAGAGTTCGTGATGGGCAGTCATATGGGGCCCATCACTGCTGCCCACTTTGGTCCCGTTTGAGCGTGTGATGGGCATCCAACTGCATATTCCGGCACCGTTTTGCTTTGATTATCTTCTGGGGGCATATCACTCGCCAGGTCCATCCGCAGGCGCAGTCCCCGGCCGGTCATAAGTTCAACCTGGCGTGTGTCCCGTGGATTCATGCTCAGCTGACCTGTTTGACAAGTCCGGCACGGGAAGTTTTTCGTCCCAGAGATCGTGGTCACCTCCGCAGAACTTGGCTGCTGCCCCAGTGTCCAGTTAAAGCATCCACTACCATCCCGTCGGACCATGGGTGCATTGGCGTTGTCCTAGTTTTCCGGATACGTATCAGGCTACAGTACTCCTGAAACATTGCACTTGCAAAGTTTCTTTCTTGGTCTGAGCGAAGCTGACTCGGCATGCCAAACCGCGCAAAAAAATCCATTTACCAGTGCTTTAGCGGCAGTCTTTGCTTCTTGGTTTAGAGCTGCATAGGCCCCAGCCATGAAGTGAAATAGTCCATGGCGTAAGGATGCACCTGTTCCGGACGACGTCATAGGTAAGGATAGGCCATTGGTCTGCGATGTCGATGGCCACCCTTTCCATGAGTGAGTCGACTCTGTATGTCTACAGTGGTGCACGTTGCGGCTTCTTGGGCTCCTTCCTTGCACAGCAGGCGTCACAGGCCCTGCACCACTCCGCCACGTCTTGCCGCATGCCAGCCCAGTAGAATCTCTGCTTGAGCTGTTTCAGCGTTTTCTTCGTGCCAAAATGTCCGCTTGTGATGGTATCATGCTTTTGTTTCAGTACCGAGTGCCGAGGATTCCGAGGTACAATGGTCAACCAGCGCGGACCAGGTCAGTCGACTGATTCCCATCGTCGCTGGAGGATTCCGCGACGCGGGCGCGATAAGTGGCGTAAGCAGCGGGCACGTCGTCCATCATAGCGCACATGAACGCCGCGTTGTACTCCGGTATAACAAAATAAATTTGCTGGTTGCTGGTAATTTGCAGACCTTTCATTACTCCTAGAGAAATAGTACAAAGTGAGTGAAAATACCGAAAGTGAGGGAAATAGCAGGTGACACCAGGTAGCATAAATCAAAGCAATATCATGGATTTTTCAGAAAAATGCAGAAAACAAGTTAGTCACTTCACTGCGGCCGCGTGCGATCTATAGTCAGCACGTTTGTCAAGTGGAATGCGTGACGTTATGCGTGCAGACGGAGCATTCGATGTGTGGGATGAGCGGATTTTTTCCATTTTACTTTTCCTTCTTCCTTCACATTTTACTCCAGCCCGCTCATTAGTTCTGGCTTACCGTCAACTATGATACACTACCTATCAAATGGTGTTTGAAAGTGGGGCTTCTGTTCCGGTATTACCATCATCTATCCCATCCGGATGTTGAAGACAGCCACACACCACACCAATCACACTCACCTTTTGATGGATACTCTTGACACTTTTATTCCTTCCTTATCCATCTTCCGTCGCATTTCCCCCAAAATTAGAGACAGGTGCCACCACCTCACCTCGCTTACTCGCTGCCGCAAGACGTAACAAAGAAATCTCCAGCCTTTTAGTCGAAATGATTTTTAATTTCGTAGGGCTTTCTCCCCATGCTGCCCGCGTTTGATCTGTCGTCAGCACGTTTGTCAGCATCAATCACGGGCTAGTATTCGTCGCCCTACCTCACGACAAGAGAGCGCAGTCACTTGGCTTGTGACGTCACGCACCGGCTAACGATGATGCGATGATGCCAGGGTATTTTGTCAGCCCGTCAGCATGGGGAGAAAGTGCTACTAGAGTAAAAAATCAACCCGACAAGGAAGCGAAAGCCTGATTTGGTAGGTTTTGCGTTGGCGAGCACGTTAGGTGGGATGGCGGCACTTGTCTAATTTTGGTAGAAATGCGACGTAAGATAGATACGGAGGGAATTGGAATGTCAGGAGCAGCCATGAGTGGCAGTGATTGGTGTGGTGCGTGGTTGCATTCCTCAGTAAATTAATGACGCTATAAGTAAACGCTGACAATGAGAGGGAGGAAAATGAAATGAACTGGAATTGAGAAGAAGCACTCAACATACGGATAGGATAGATGATGGTTATACCGGAACAGAAGCCACACTTCCAAACACCACCTAATACGTAATGTGAAATAGCCGGCAGTATGCCAGAGTAAGTGTGTGGTCTGTAGTATAAGGTAAAGGAAGAAGGGAAAGCACAGTTAAAAAACTGTCCCGTCAGCCCACACATCGAACGCTTCGTCGACACGTATGACGTCACGCATGCCCGCTGACAAACGTCCTGACGACAAATTGAAGGCGGTCAGGCTGACAAAAAACCTTGACATTATCTGTTGCATTATCGTCAGCCGGCACGTGACGTCACAACACACTTGACTCTGTGGTGACGTGACGTGAGGTAGAGCGAATACTGAGTTGTGATTGGTGGTGATAAACATGCTGACAACAGATCGAGCACGGTCTGGATACTTCGGTAATGGCGCGGAAGAGGCGTTGACGCACCGGGCACAAGAAATGTGCAAACTGGTGTAAACATGCGGCATGTTGTGGGCATGCCAGGGTTGTAGCATAGTGGGTGTAGAACCGTCAATCGGTGAGAAGGTTGGTAGTCATCCCTCATTTTGTGCACTTAAGTGAGGCACACGATTTTGTATGATGGCATCCTTTGCTGCACTGGGATTGTACTGTGGCCGTCCACGTGGAAATCTTCAGGCCAGGCTGTAACAAAGCATGTTACGCCATGTTTATGTTAAAGGTTACCTCAGAAAAATCTTAGTTCCTGTATAAGTCGAGTATGTATGCATTGGGATTGATGGCAGAAGTGTGGCAACGTGGGCTTTAGATTGGCGCGGTGTGTGCCTAAACTGAAATTGTTGTTGGAATATTGTTAGCCAGTTATGTTTGGCATAAACATACTTTCCAGTCTGGGCTGATGGTATTCATCTGCATATAAATTTGATTATCATCATTGACTAGAATTGGCTGACCGTGATGCCAGCCTGACCTGGAACTTAAAATCAGTAAAATTAATAAACTTGCCACTGTTTGTAATTTGTGTAATTTCAATGGCAGTATTGAAAAAGCAATTAGATTATTTGCAAGCCTTTGATCATGACAAGATTGTATGCCCATGGAGTCAGTGTCATAACCAGGTCATTGCCTGTCTGAAGAGAGCTTAAGTGGAGAATATGGAGCTATGTAAGTCATGGGATCCTTCCTTGTGGTTATACTGCTCCTGTTTGGTATTCAACATACTCTTTTGGCTCAGGATTTTACGTTCAAGACTTACAGGCTGTGTGTGCTGTTTCTTAAGCCCTACAGGCATCAGGAACAGCCAACATGTGTTCTGGAGGCCCTGTGTCCAGGCAGCCCCTGCCATCTCATGGTGTGTATGGTCCAAAGTCTTCCTCCCCTGTCTGTACCACCTTGCTTGGTTTTGCTGCCTATTCAGTATTTGACTAAGGTCACGATATCTTAAGTTTGAGGTCAGCATTGAAAAAAGATGGCATTGACAGTATTTTGCCAATTGCTAGAATTACTTCATGTCAGACATTTATTGCTTTATTGATTGTAGCTGTCACATTTGTGTATATGATGTTGGATTCACCCCATTAAGTGCTGCTCATGTCTGACACCATTTTTTTAAACCTCAAAGGGGCAAATGCATGGCTCACACACAACAATAATGCATGCATGGCAACCTGCATATGTCAGGCACAATTTTCCCAGGATAGGTGACAGTTTTCTCCCCTGTCAATATTCATCCTTTGATGCTGAGACACATGGTGGCTGAGGTCTAAACCTGCTTAAATACAAAGTTTTTGATTTCTTTATGCATTACAAATTGCATTACCTTGTCTTCTGATTGAATGTGGAGATGAAATGTTGGTGATGATGCAATGTGCCAGAAATAGGATGCTTGATCAAATATCTTTGATGGAAGTGTCTTCAAAATACTACAGTATAGCTTGATTACACTATGTTTCTTGTTCCCAAAATTTGATGGGGGCATGGTGTGTGGTTGCAATGGCAGTCTGTCAGCAGCTTGACTGGCCAGGCCATGCATTCAGCCATGCTGCTGGAGCTACAACAATTATAGTTAGCATATTGACATTTAGACTTTCTCAAACTCTGGTGTTGTTTATGATAATGTTAGCATTATCAAACATGATTAATCTCTCTATATGAATTACAACTAACAGTATTATTACCCAGGTCATTCAGCTGATAGCATGGGAACATGTGTAGGATTAACACACACAAGTGACTGCTCTTCTATTTGGTTATTTGATGTTTTATTGACCTACTGATGTATTAACAATGCCTCCTTTGCAGTTATTGTAGAGCTGTGACAGGGTATGCTTGCTGTCTACCAGATATCTGGCTTTTATCAGATATCTGGCTTTTATCGCACAATGGCCAGCAAAACCCTGCTTGGGCTGGAGCTTCCCGAGGTAGTTTCCAGGCTAGAAGTTTTTGCTCCAACTCGGCTGGCTGAGTCATGGGACAACGTTGGACTTCTGATTGAGCCATCGCCCCCCAAAATGGTTCAGGTAATGTATTACAGCAAGTTTCCTTTGCCTATTTTGCCTTCTTACCATCTAATGATATTTATGTTTTGTTGGTCTTCCATTATTCATTTTGTGCTGTGACTGGGAGCACATTGATAGTCATGTACACTAGGGCATCTCAGAGTAACAAGTTTGGGGAAAGGATGGTTGCTCTGGGCTAGTCTGGTCCTCCAATCTGAGGTAAATACTTTTTGTCAAAAGTCATGCATATTTGTGGGGTGCGGAATGGGCTTAAAGGTGTCTGGTTTTAAGTCATTTTTGCTCTGAGAGGAGCAGTGAGACATTAGCAAAATAAGATATTTACATCGATTTGAACGTTTGAAACAGAGCCCTTGGCGATTGTATACCATAGCCCACACAATTTGACCATAATATCTAGCTAGTGTGTCACATGATTAAGCGGGAATAAGACTCCAGGGAAGGAGAGACAGCAATGCTTAAATGTGAAAACATTTTAAACAGAGTCAAGATAGGTGTTTAACGAGTCTTTCTTGCATTATTAACTCAATGGGGTGTGTAATTGTGATGTGAGATCGGTTGAGCTCATTTTGACCTGATATAACCTCACCTTTACATTTTCATTCTCTGTTTTACCTCGACTAAGAGAAAACAGAACGTCGAATCATGTAAGATCAAAATATCTTTGTGAAACCGATGCTGACATTCCATCATTACCGCATCAGAAAATTGTCATGAACACATCTTGTATTGTACGTCACTACACGTTGAAAGGTGTCCAGTGTGTCCGCTTTGGAACAGCTGTTCTGTCGTCAGTGGGCTTTCACCTCATGCAGGAGTCCCTGCAGCTGATTGCCGCCGGCTGCTGCACGTTAGCGAACATTTAAATCATTGACACCATCTCTTGGCAGAACCATTTGAAACGGTAGCACACCGCTCCAGATCACGAACGGACAATGGATGGGCTACTCATTCATCGGCTGGCCTGCTTAGCCACCGGCTAGCTTCGATTTGAACGAGTTGGTACACCAGCCAATGGGACCCATTTACCAGATTTGTTAGATCTGTGTCTCGTTTGGCCAACGGTGCAGCATTTCTAAAATCATTCGCCACAGGCGAAGGCAGCAGTGCCGAAGCCATGGCTGCCCAGTCATTATCGTTAACGTCACCCGAAATCAGACGGAAGGCGGCCGTCTCGGGACTCAAGGTCAAGTGGCCGTGCACACGACGGCCAGAGCTGCTCCAGCCACAGCTCGTTAACCGTCCGGTGTTGCGGCAGGTTCTGGTGCAGCCTCAGGCGGCCGTCTCAGGACTCAAGGTCAAGTGGCCGTGCACACGACGGCCAGAGCTGCTCCAGCCACAGCTCGTTAACCGTCCGGTGCTGCGGCAGGTGCTGGTGCATCCTCAGGTCTTTAGTAGCGGCGTCAGCGGACAGTGTACCCGCGTGTCAGGCTGCGTCGGCGTCCGCTGACGGCCCTGGAAAGGACCCGAAGCCACGCCAGGACCTGCTGCACTACCGGACGGTTGGCAAGCCCGGGGCTGCTGCATCGTTGGCAGCGATGCATCTCCTTTTGGCCTATTTGAAGCCCGAGATGGTCGTGCTCCGTCTGGTTCCGGGTGACTCGGCGATAATGGAAAAACAGCCGTAGGTTTGACACTGTCGTTTATGCCGGTGGCGATGATTTTGGAGATGTTGCGCCATTCATCGGCTTGCAGGTATATTTGTTAGGTCTGATAGATGCGCCCTTTTGGCTGATATGCCAGCTTATTGGGGTCAGAGCTGGCCAGTGGCCGAACAAGGCTTTTGAAGAGTGGTGTGCCAAAAACGTCTATCCATTTTATCTTCATTTTTCAGAGGTGTACACAACTTACACATAATACCGCAGAGAGAGGTGTGTCAATGATTGATTTTTTGTAGCCAGTCTAGCCGTTAACAAGGCTCAGAAGGTGGAAGACCCCCGGCAGATGAGCGTCTTGATACGTGCATGAGGTACACTACGCTGTTGAATCAGGTACAATATAAGATTTGTTCACAACAATCTATTACGCAGTATTGGTGTGACGCCAAGGTTTGCTCGGTAGGTACCCGCCATTTTTGTTTGACATCGCTTGACGCTTTCGTCTCTGAGAGGGCGAGCAGAGGACAGAAATGTCAAAGTGATGTGAGAAGTCAGGCAAGCGTTCGAGTCGACGTTTTGATCCATGTTTATAAAACCTTAGTGCCCCCCCCCCCCCCCCCCAGAGAGCAAAAGTGACTTGAAAAAGCGCACTCCTAAACATACATGAATTCAGACAGAATGGCACTACTGACCTTACCTTGAATGAGAGAACCAGACTAGCCGTGTAAGAGACTTAGGTTTTGGGTTAGTTTAGTCTAGTTAGAGGTAAGCCTTGAGTAACTATACTTCTCCCAGAAGAGTGTCATTTTGGAACACCCTGCTGGATGTGCATACCAATGACTGTAAACAGCGTGATGTGGTGACGACGTCTTTGGACTTGCACCTGTCAGTCAGTCAGAGGTCACGATCGCTCGAGGATACGCGCGCCACCACGGCTGCCTGCACGTAGCGTGGACATGGCATCTAGAAAGGCCTCTCTGACGCCTCGTGGCCAATTTCAAGGCCGTCGCGTGTCGCCCAGTGTGCTGTGAAACACTGTCTTAGTATCGGAACACTTATATGGCCAACAGACGGTGATGTTGACCAATGATCTGACGGAGGACGTCATGTCCGAGGCTGTGGAGAAGAAGGTGGACCTCATTCTCAGCTACCACCCTCCAATCTTCCGTGCGCTGAAGCGACTCGCCTTCTCCAAGACGTGGAAGGTAGGCACCATACCTCACGGAAGACTGTGGCTGATGAGTGTGTTGTATGAGGTACGCACTGGATGGTCCGGCTCTGCAGGATTTCATGCAACGACGCATCGGGTCCAACGACGTCTCAGATGGTGACTGTGGCCCCGCTCCTGCGGCGGGTGCATGTCCACTGGCGTATGCAGGCACCGCTTCCTCAGAGGTGCCCTGTGCCCGAAGGACGTTCGTCCAGCGCACGTATACAGCACACAAATGAAATGCCCCAAGTCCGTATGTACCTAAAGCGATGGCCGTGGTTTGCCTCAGCTGTGGTGTCGCACTGCGCGGGCTGATGTGTCCGCCTGGCTGCGGTGTCGTACTGCGCGGGCTGATGTGTCCGCCTGGCTGCGGTGTCGTACTGCGCGGGCCGGCGTGTCCGCCTGGCTGTGGTGTACTGCGCGGGCCAACGTGTGCTCCGGTGCCCGGCCGCAGGAGAGGATCGCCGTCACGTGCCTCGAGAACCGGATAGCCGTGTACTCGCCTCATACCTGCTACGACGCGCTCAACGGCGGCGTCAACGACTGGCTGTGCGAGGCGTTCGGTGAGACGCGTTCACCGGGGAGGCGCCGCCGGCTTGCGCCCCCCCCCCCCCCCCCCCGTTCGATGACGCGCGCTGACCGACGGCGGCGCCGCCTGCTGTCCCCCCCCCCCTTCCCATGTCGATCCCCGCCCATCGGACGTCCTCCAGTAACGGGTGGCTGATGGCTTTCCTAACGCCCGGCTGATGGTTTCGTAGATTCGTCAACTTTGAGCGCAGCTGGGGGTGGCTGCTCTGTCACTGGGCGGAATGTTGAAATTAGGAACGAGCGTAATCTGTCGGAAGTTGACGCCATGGCCAGCATGATATCATGAAGCGAAATCCTTCCTGTCTGCTGATTGTTCCATTAATAGCATTCTTGCAAAAAGGAATAGCTGCACCGTTCCAGGTCACTCTGTCAGATCATGTTTGTTGTTAAATCATCTTTGGCCTTCACGGGTAGCCCTTAAAGTTAAAACGGTCTTTTCGACGTGTGCGCGTAGTATGCACAGGAACATGACAAGTATGAACTACTAGTGCATCACTCCTGTCCAACCCTAGGTATGTGGTACAGACATGATTTACAGTTGCAAGTCGCAACATCTGTGTGCAATATTGGACTGAGCTCCAACCGCGTTGGAACGCTACTGACGTTCAGCGATGGCCGAGTGTGTGAGCAGTTCCGGACTCAGGGCTTTGACGTGACCCGCGACCTGAGTCGTGACCCTGGACCTGAATTGTGACCTCAACCGTGACTTGAGCCATGATCCGTGATCTGAGCCGTGACCCTTGACCTGACCCGGGTGCCGTGATCTGATCCGTGAACCGTGACCCTTGACCTGAGCCGTTGCCCGTGGGCTGAGCCGTGACCTGAGCCGTGACCCGTTACCCGTGAGCTGATCAGTGATCTGAGCCATGACCTGACCCGTGGTCCGTGACCCGAGCCGTGACCCGTGACCTGAGCCGTGCCCTGTCGTGTTGTCAGGCCGCGCCCGCGTGACGCCGCTGACGCCCAGCCTGGGTGCCGAGCCGCCGCTGCAGGTGCTGGTCCCTCTGCCGCCGGGCCCCGTCCGCCAGCTGGACTGGGTTGACGACCTACACGAGCTGTGCCGCCAGCTGCCAGGCGCCTCCGTCGAGGCCAGGTACGCTGGGCGCCGCTCCTCTGTGCTCGTCCCCTCCCCCCCCCCCCCCCCCCCCCACCTTCCCGCAGGGAAGAGCTGCTGTCGAACGATGGGATTGTACGTGCTGGACTCACTGAAGGCCGAAAGGTTCATATCCCGTTGAGAGCAGTGAGCTGCTTGAGGATGGTGATCTGTACAGGTGCCCTAGCACTGCACTCGAACCATTCTTTCTGTCGAAAAGTGTACTGCTGTACGGTGCACAGATTGCTGCTGTACGGTGTACAGAGCATTGCCATGGCGCCTAAAGGGGATGGGCTACCGCAAGCAAGGTGTCTATGGTTGAAGTATGTGAAACGTTGTGGCACGCTTTCGTGATTTACGTGGCGTGTTTCTTTTTGACAAAAAATCGTTACGCCGTAATAATTCTGCAAAGCGCGGGTTTGGTAATGCCCCAAAGAGGAAGTTAGTATCTTTTGGTGGTACGATCATTATTATGGCCGACCGGGGATGGCCGTGCCGCAGCATTGTGTGGCAAGTAAAACCCTCCGCATTCCTGTCTGGTGAAAGGGCGGAGGTAAAATTATCCGCTTAACTGGAGGGTACAAATCGGGTGGTGGATTTAGGGTGCACGCAACAAGCTATTCTTAGCAGGTACTGTAAACACACAGCCACACGCAAACCACTCGGTATGAAAAAACGGTGTTACGTGTTGTACTGTCACTATGGCCGAGTTTGGGTCCAATTTGGGATTAAATGTGGAACGGGGATATAAAATACGCGAGAGAGCTTCAAGGCTACGAAGTAATTTGAGTACTAGTAAGTAGTTACCGAAGTTTGCGTAAACCAAAAACTTACATATCAAAAGTAGATTTGTGGCATTTCGACACGTGTAGTAATGTCCGACTTAGATAAGGCAGTAGTAACAGCCTCATTCCTCTGAGAAAAACCAGGAGAATGGAAGTAAAGGTGATATGGGTGTCTAGGGAGTGCCGCTCCCGGCGTTAGCACTATATCGCTGCTCCGGGCTGTCATCCGAGGAATGAGGCTGTTGCTACTGTCTCATCTATGTGAATAACCTTCCTCGCAAATGCACTTGACAACTTACATCATGAACGGCTTTTTGCAGTTGACGTTTCCTTTCAGGAAATTGCATGCCGAACATCACCCTATCTACTCATTGATAGCTTCAGTATCACGATTTTTGCAAAATTCCGAAGACTTCTCCTTGACCGTTGATCCAGCGAATTTCATTGACAATCTGGCAGCGCAAGAAAGCCCCACAGACAATTCGCGCTGCAGTTTAAAGGGATGGAGGAGGGGGCGCCACCTGTTGTGGACTGCGCCAGCGGCCACCCGACGCGGCCCGGGCCGGTCCGATGTATGCAGTCTCTCCTGCACTTGTCTTTCCCTGCGCGCCTGTTGCCGGACGTGACTGGCGCCGCCGCCGGCCGACAGGTACCAGGACGTGGTGGGCGACGTGCGCACGCTGGGCAGCCCGCTGTCAGAGGGGCCGCAGCCGCGTCTCCAGCTGGTGGTGACAACGCCGCGCGCTCACCTGGCGGCCGTGTCGGCCCTGCTGGCGGCCGCCGGCGTCCAGCCCGGCTGTCGGGTCACCGCGGCGGAGAAGGTGCGCTCGGGTGCCGCCGGCGGCCGCGGCCACGGCCCTCCGTCGCTGGCGGCTGCGGCCACGGCCCTCCGTCGCTGGCGGCCGCGGCCACGGTCCTCGGTCGCTGGCGTCCGCGACCACGGTCCTCCGTCGCTGGCGTCCGCGGCCACGGCCCTCCGTCGCTGGCGGCCGCGGCCACGGCCCTCCGTCGCTGGCGTCCGCGGCCACGGCCCTCCGTCGCTGGCATCCGCGGCCACGGCCCTCCGTCGCTGGCGGCCGCGGCCACGGCCCTGTGTCGCCGGCGGCGTCGCCCCTCCGGCGGCGTTGCTCAGGACGGCAGCTGGGGCTCCGTGGCCAGCGAGCTGGCGGGGTATCGACCGCGCCGCCACACCGCCGGTCTGTCAGCGGCCCTGCGGTGCTCCCAGCCGGCAGTCAGGTGGTCTGTCATTGTCGGACGGGCAGCCGTGGCGATTACAGCTGGGAACAGGCAGAACGGTGTCCGTATGGGTCGTAGCTTGGGTTGGTTAGACTGTACTGTCCCGCCTCAGGAACGTTGCCGCGTTACGATAGTGCTGCTGTTTGGTATCGGAAGGTAATCTGCTCTTCTCTCCCTCGGACATAAAGGCCTGAGGTGGTCCTGGGCCCTGCGCCATGTGTGGACCCCCGCTCAAGACCCGTGCGCCTAAGGTGACCTCGGCCCCCGCGCTGTGTACCTGACCTGTAGTCCTGGCGCGGCTGGCCCCGTCCCCGCGTCAGCGGTGCGGCCCGTCGGCCACCGGGACGGCGGTCTGACTGGCACGCATGACGTGAGACCTGAGACCTGAGTCCTGCTGCGCCAGGTACCGGAGCCGGGCCGCGGCGCCGGCCGGCTGGCCGAGCTGGACACCAAGCTGACGCTGACACAGGCCGTCGACGCCGTCAAGGCGCACCTGGGCCTGCAGCACGTGCGGCTGGCGGAGGCCGTCGGCAAGCCGAGCGGTGAGCTGCCGGCGCGCTGCAGAGGGGGCGGTCTGGTGCGCTGCCGAGGGAGCGAGTGGGCCGGGGCGGTCTGGCGCGCTGCCGAAGGAGCTAGTGGGCCGGGGCGGTAGGCGCGCTGCCGAGGGAGCGAGTGGGCCGGGGCGGTAGGCGCGCTGCAGAGGGGGTGGTCTGGCGCGCTGCAGAGGGAGCGGCTGGGCCGGGGCGGTCTGGCGCGCTGCATAGGGAGTGGATCGGCTGGGGCGGTCTGGCGCACTGCAGAGGGAGTGGATGGGCCGGGGCGGTAGGCGCGCTGCAGAGGGAGTGGATGGGCCGAGGTGGTCTGGCGCGCTGCCGAGGGAGCGAGTGGGCCGAGGTGTTCTGGCGCGCTGCCGAGGGAGCGAGTGGGCCGAGGCGGTCTGGCGCGCTGCAGAGGGAGTGGATGGGCCGAGGTGGTCTGGGGCGCTGCCGAGGGAGCGAGTGGGCCGAGGCGGTCTGGCGCGCTCCCGAGGGGGCGAGTGGGCCGAGGCGGTCTGGCGCGCTGCCGAGGGAGCGAGTGGGCCGAGGCGGTCTGGCGCACTGCAGAGGGGGCGAGTGGGCCGAGGCGGTCTGGCGCGCTGCCGAGGGAGCGAGTGGGCCGAGGCGGTCGGGCGCGCTGCCGAGGGAGCGAGTGGGCCAAGGTGGTCTGGCGCGCTGCAGAGGGGGCGCGTGGGCCGGGGCGGTCTAGCGTGCTGCAGAGGGGGCGGGTGGGCCCGGGCGGTCTAGCGCGCTGCCGAGGGAGCGAGTGGGCCGGGGCGGTCTAGCGCGCTGCAGAGGGGGGCAGGGTGGGCCCGGGCGGTCTGGCGTGCTGCAGAGGGAGCGGGTGGGCCAGGCCTGGTCTGGCGCGCTTCAGAGGGGGCGGATGGGCCGGGGCGGTCTAGCGCGCTGCTGAGGGAGCGGGTGGGCCGGGGAGGTCTGGCGTGCTGCAGAGGGAGCGGGTGGGCCGGGCGTGGTCTGGCGCGCTTCAGAGGGAGCAGGTGGGCCGGGGGCGGTTTGGTGCGGTGCCGAGGGAACAGGAGTGGTCTGCAGCGCTGCCGAGGGGGCGGTTTAGGTGCGCTGCTGAGGGAGCGGGAGTGGTCTGCAGTGTCACCGAGGGGGCGGATGGGCCGGGGGCGGTCTGGTGCGCTGCCGAGGGAACGGAAGTGGTCTGCAGTGCCGCCGAGGGGGGCAGTCTGGCTCGCTGAGCCGACGCTGGCGCGCGCCTCACCTGCGGCGATCCGAGAGAGTGCGGACGCCGTCGCCTATATCGACCTTACTGTACCGCCACTTTAAGTGCATAGCATGCGGCCGTGCGCCGCCTGTGTCGTGACCCGTGGCCAGGGCCGCGTGCGTACAGTTTCGGCCGTGGATGTGTCGGGGCTGACGCCGTCGGGCCTGCGGGCAGACTCGCCGGTGCGCACGGTGGCGGTGTGCGCCGGCTCGGGCGGTTCGCTTCTGGCCGGACGGTCGGCCGATCTCCTGCTGACCGGCGAGATGTCTCATCACGAGGTGAGACTCGCGTGCGCAAGTCCCCTGCCCGAAGTGCAATGGTCCGAAGGCACGTGGGGGCCGCCGCGCTCTGGCTCGGTGTCACCGTTCGGAAATCGATGTGCTCTGGTTTTCTGAAAGCGAGGGTAGAAGACAAAAATGTGGATTGCACCCAGATTTATATTACATTTGCACAAAATGTCATTCGTTAGTTTTGCTGCGATGTGTTGGCCAACATTGCATCGCGTTGCTTGTAATGTATAATGTAATATCAGAGAACGTTGATGTAATATCAGAGAATGAGAGATGTCATGAACTTTGCTTGAAATTCGACAGGGAGCACCAGCTGTCTCATCTGGGTCCTCAACCAAACATGCGTTTGCCCCCTACAGCTTCGCATATCGTACACCCGCACCGATCTGGGATATAACTGGAGGTGTTTGGAGTACCGCGATGTATGACAGAGTGTGGACAATGCTATTCGTATGGAAACGTTTTGCCAAATCTGGAATGTTAGAGTACTATGTTTCGCCCACTCGTGTGGACAGGTGCTGGACGCCACGCACGCCGGCAGCCACGTGGTGTTGTGTGAGCACAGCAACACGGAGCGCGGCTTCCTGAAGCGGTTGGCGGAGCGGCTGGGGACGCTGCTTTCCGGCCAGGTGGAGGTGATGACCTCGCAGGCAGACCGCGACCCGCTGCGGGTGGTCTGACGGCCGGCGGGCGTCGCGCTGCGGCGCAGACCGCCACCTCCGCGCGGCGGCGGCCGGCCGGCGCCGGCGGGCCGCCTGGTGCGGAGAGCGACGCCGGTGGGCCGCCTGGTGCGGAGAGCGATGCCGGCGGGCCGCCTGGTGCGGAGAGCGACGCCGGCGGGCCGCCTGGTGCGGGCTGCGACGCCGGCGGGCCGCCTGGTGCGGAGAGCGACGCCGCCTGTCGTGGTCGTCCGGTCATAACTGGCGCAGCCAGCTAGGACTCCCGGAGGCGGTGACGCCTGTCGTTGCGTGGGGCGCCGGACACCCGGCAGGACTGTGCTGACAGCTGCCGCGGTGACACGTCGCCTTCTGGGTTTGGCTGTGGGAGATCGAACAGTACGCAATGTGGCCGTCGTGGTGGAATGACCGGCTGTTGCGGATGGCTTTGTTGGACGTCAGCGTGTTTCTTTATTGCAATCTGGAAAGTCGTCGCTAAGGATAAGTCCATTATGTGCTAATTTTGAAAATGCATTGAACATTCACTTCTGCAATAAATGTGTCACTTAAACAAACGTGTATTTAGTGGGTGGTGCTGATAGAATCTACCTTCTGACACGTATCTCTCCTGAATTTGCATGAAGCGCCATGCGCTGCATTTTATTTATGTCTTTCTTTGCATAGGGACATAGTTCATTATACGCAACGCGCTGACATGTGATTCATATAATTACGAGGAACAAAAAGCCAAAGCAACCCCACTATATTTTCTACCTTGATTTTTCGTCGGGCGATTGACGAATCATTAGATGCACTAACCGCACAATGAATCGCCTACGTTAGACATCGCACTACCGCTGCACATTTCAAATTTCCTAGCATACCATTTCCTTATTGAAAAAGCACATACGGCTAACCGGCCAACACAGCATACACACACTTATCTAAAATCGCAAAATATGTAATGGTCATATTACATTGATGCTAAGCCGCTTGCTCGCACAAAATACTTTGCTTGGTAACGCTTGAGTTCATGACAGTTTTAAGGCACCGAATGCCGCAGGTTGCCTGTTGACTTAAGAATGATGCGAATATGAATATGAAGATATGAATGAAGAAATGAGAAATGAATATGAAGAAATGAATACGCTGATTTCGCTGATAAAAATATCACAGTAACCATCACCAGTAAATATATATATAGCAGTATAAGAGTGATTTATTTCCAATCTTCGCGATGGATGGCAGTCGTGACTTAGCTGACGCACAGCAGCTCCATCTACCTTGCGATATACTTCCGGCCGCGTACGTGCTGAGTGCGACAAATGTGTCTTGCATATCGTTGAGAACTGTAGCGATCGGTGTAAATGTATGTTTAAGGGCCTCCAACATAACTAGACTGATCTGAAGGCCAAACGGAGTTGTGGGAAGTGCGGTGGTCGCATATGTTGCAAAACACTTGCGCTTGCTTGCCATTTATTTTTGGGTGGCGGGAACTTTCGTCCAAGGTGTCGAGCGGTAAATGTATGACCTGTGCATGGGGCATGTTGTATCAGTGATACAGTGCACTAGCAATGTGTCATTGACAGGCTTACCTTCGATGATTGGCTGACATGATTGCCATGACTTATCGCCATCCAGAAAACAAGTCGGCATTCACCTCACCCCAGTGGACGCATCATTTCTACCTGAGTAGCCGAAACAGAGGCAGCAGTGGTCGTGCAAGAAACACTGAGTGATAAAAAGAACAAAAATTGGCCATGTCGCAATCACGACCAATTATGAAGTAGCACAGACGGGCGTATTTAGTCGAGATGTCATAACGCATTCAGATTTCTTGCAAAGCAGATTACCCTATGAAAAAAACACGGCCCGACTACTCCCACCATGTGATGCAATTTACCGCAGGGTCGAGCAAGTTGTCTCATTTGAAACATTATCAGCTAGCACAGGCACAAATAAGCATGAAAATTACGTACAAATTATTCGTGGTCATTTTAGACCAAACTTTCATTACTGCGTTTCTGGTGCTCTATGTTGGTAGTTGTGTTTCTTTGAAACATCTGTTATCATGCAGTGCTATTGGGCACATTTTATACAATCCAACACCTATCACCACCGTTTTTTTTTCTTCTGAAAAACTGTTACGAATCGTGCCTTTATTACTTCGTAACGTGACGTTGGTCCTGCCAGCACCACCAGACAACACAGCTGCAATTATACATAAAAACAGTGCACAAAACGTCCTTGGTCGTTTTGGACCCAAGTTACATTTCCGCGTTTCTTTAGTTCAAAACGAGTCGTCTTGTCTTATGACATATTTGTGATCCTGCACAGAACTAGTGGTCAAATCATACATTAACGAACGCCGAATAGTATTTGTCCGGAGCTACCGCTTCCTCATTGCTCATTTCTAGCTGCCAGAGACTGTCCATCCCCATAACTAGTTTGCCTGGCAAATTCATCTGCCGATTGATTATTGAATCTTGATTCCGGATACAAAGCGCTCTCAGCACTTTCGGTTTCACTTTTTGCACGCACTTGGCAAGCGGCGGTGATATATTCCACTGATTCGCATCGAGTGTCCCTCCATGAGCTGATGTCACATGTCGCTTTGGAGCACCGTCCTGTAGGAGCGTTGTCGTTGGTCTTGATAACGACGTCGCAGTGCGACCTACGCACGGGTTTGGTCAGTGTGTGCCGCCGTCGATGGGGCATTTGAAATCGTGAAGAACGTTGGTCATTTCTGTCAACCCTGGCATTTTTGGCATACACCAAGTACCAGGCCAAACGTCATGGATATACACTAATATAAGTAGCAAGCTATTTCTGAACACATCATTACCTATAATCAGACTCAATGCTCCTGGCCTTTTGTAGAAAATTGTGAGCTTAACCGTCGCCCTGATTTGCCGTTTTTTATGCGGCAGACTGACGAGGGGTTGATGCGACTCCCTGGCGTTTCCACCCTAATGGTGATAGAGTTTAGCGGAAAACACCAGTGGCTTGGTCTGAACGAGATCTCGCTATTTGCACTAGTTTCACATTGCTGCGCCAATAATTGACCCACTATGGCAGATCAAAGTTCGAATTTTCCAGAAAATCGCACTTTTTCAGCTTAGCATCATACCTACGAGACCATGCCTTGTGACACGAAAGCTGAAGAAGCGTGATCTTTGCTCGATTTTGGGTAATATAGTGTATGTTTTCATGTTTCTTTTGAACACACACTTATGATGTATCGCTCCGTTTGTTACAATGTCGGCCCGCCGCGCGCGTTCCGCGGCACTCTCGGTCGCCGCTTGCTCGCGCTCAGGCCGGAGGTCGTAGTGCAGTAATCCTCAAAAACCGCCGTTGCTCCGAAACCAGGAAATGTAGGGACACGTTTTTTAGTGTTTTAGGTGGGGACACGTTTTTTGGTTTTCTGGTTACACGCACAATGGTTGTCCCATAGACTATGTAAAAATTGGGCGCGATTGCACTATGTGCTGAAAAGGTATCTTAAAAAAAATTGTGGGTTGCATCAAACCCCTATCAGGACGAGTGTTAAATTAACGTCCACGTTGCCTTCGGGGTTTGTTGGAAAGAAGTTAAAAAAATAATATCCCGAATGGCTGTTCTTGAAATGTGTACAACGCTGAAAAGACGGCTGATCGCGCCGTGACGCGTTTTCCGAAAAATTGGGAGACAGGTTCCATTTGCTTCCCCCCCCCCCCCCCACCCTATCTTAAGTGATGGTACCTATGACTACGACAAATCAACGAACAACACGGCCTCCAACCAGCCCCTTGGGCCCTTCCAGCTTTTTTCCGTCGGTCCAGGCGGGCCCAATACTCTTCGTGACGCGGGGAGGCTCGTGCCTCTGAGCTCCCGTTCCCCCGGCTTGCCCCCCCCCCCCTCCCCCTGCTTATAACTGAGCACGGGTATTAACATTGTGTATCTCCTAATACACTGCACTGGTTACCTCACGCCTTTGTTTAAGCGGCATCACCTGTTCCACCTGCAAAGCCAACCATTTTCAACACAAACAACTCCAATGTTAAGATCATTCATTAAATGGGAGCCCCATTGACCAGATGATCAGCTCCGAATGGACAAACGACTGGATGTAATACCGTAAACGGCACGATGTAATACCATAAACGGCTAGATGTAATTCCATAAACGGCTAGATGTAATGTCATATACGGCTGGAAGAAAAAAAACATAAACGGTTCGAGGTAGTGCCGCAAACGGCTTAAAGGAATTCGTAAAACGAGTGCCAGTTCAGCCTGCAAAAATCACCCGTGTGAACCATTCGGACTGATGCAACACACGGCTAGCACGAACCGTCCGTTACTACTTGTTCCGCACCAAGTGCATTTTTTTCGGCCAAGACTATCTTACGTAAAACGACATTGCAGCGTTATACAACAGCATAAAAGTGAGCTGACGTTGGCAACAACGGAAATCGGGGAGCGAAGAACAAAGCAGGATATAAAATTATCGCAACGCTGGGTGACTGACCAAAGGCACACCCACCGACTTCACGGCATAGTCGGTCAGGCGTATCCGCGCGGTAGCGGCTCGATGGTTGATCTCCGCACTGTTCCTCTTGCTATAGGGGCAACAAAAGCAGCGGTTGCGTAAATATGGTACTTGCATAGCTTAGTATGCCGGCATCTGTTTAAGATATTCTCCAAATATAGGGACTTAACGATATCCGGCGAAAACCCTGTCCGGAATTCTATCCAGCATCCAACCAATAACTGCGCACAATGCGGTACAAAATGGTAGTTTCATGAGCGCTATCACAAACTGAGAAATGCGATTAGTTATCTGATAAGTATGTTGCGAGGGTTGACAAATATAACAGTGGTTGGGATCAACATTAACCTCTTCTGCTCCTCGCTTACTGTTCCCAATTTCATTCCACAGCCGGTCACAGTGCTTCCTCCGATGATGCTGGCACGAGAGCGGCTCTCGTCCTCCGCCGAATACCTCCGGCTGAGGCGTCTGGGGGCGCCGATGACAGCAGGCACAAGGCGTTCCACGCTGGCTATGTGGACACATTGGGTCCTCGCCAGCAGCATGCACATGCACCTGACTTTGCATTTGTCAGTACCAACCTCCACTCCAGCGAATCCCGAGCTTTACGAGGCAGGTTTTACGCAGGCTATACGCAAGCTATATTCACCTGAAAACTATCCAGGGAGCTCTACGTCTTTCGGCGGGCGCTCGCGAAAGGAACGCGTCAAAAGGTTGGCGGCCCCCGACATTCCGTCTTGGTCTAGGTCGTCTTGGCCAACACTTTTCGATGTGTTATGATGTGCGCTAGCCGGCTGAGACCACACCAGAGGTGGCCGGCGAAAGAGCGGCGCAGCAGCGGCCACCGGAGCCGGCCGTCACATCCGGTCCGCCTGGCCGACAGGGTACGGCCATGCCGTCTGCTGTCGGCCCGGCCCGGCCCGCCGGGACCGGGCGCGAGACGGCAGCCGAGCTGGACACGGGCTGTCGGCCGGGCTGGCCTGGCGGTGGAGAGGCGGGACCCGCCCGCCCGCGCGCTGGCCGGTGGTGACGTCGACAGAGGCTTGACGGTGCCGTGACTAGTGTCGGTGCCCGAAGACAGCAGAGAACTTACAGCTGCTCACAACGTTGAAGCAAAAGTGAACCAACTCTGTGTAGTGGCGCCCCCACAAGGAGCACGGAACAGAATTGCCTCATCCCGAGCTATATCCTAAACCGGTTCGTCGATTCAACGCTTGGTCTGCCTGAACGTCATGTCCGCAAGCAGCCTTCAAGACCATGAGTGGGATTTTAAACCCGGAAAGTCCGCCGACACAGCTCAGCACGAACCCAGCTGCCCCCTCCCTCTCACCATGCTCCACGCCCCACCCGCGTGGCCCGCCCGGCACCAGACTCGGCCGCCGGCTGAGTGTCCGGGGGAGCGGCGTTGCATCCTCGGCAGCTGTACACCGGGCTAAGATCGCTCTCGAAAACTAGGGGATCAGAATACAGTGGCTTAAATGCAACATAAAATGCCCAACCCCATAACCAATACCTGATTTGAGTCTTTGACTATTTTGAGAGGCTCTTTGGTCACGATTCCCCAAACCAATGAAGCTTTCTATAAACTCACGCAGATCCAAGGGCAGTTGAAAGCCTGATAAAGCGTTTTGGCGAGCCGAGAGGGTGATAAATACCGATTTGGGCTGAAGGATTTGTCGCCTTTTGTACACCAGCCTGACATGTGCTTCCGCTCATTTGACCCAACAGGCTATCACCAATCTCAGCGCCCTCTACCATCTTTCCGCACAGAAGCTTAGCATGTTCGTCTCCCAGTTTGGGGTCTTCCAGATGGGGCCTTCTGAGCACTCAGGAGGGGGGCTATGGAGAGACTGTGGTTCTGTCCGAAACTTTATGCTGTTAAAAACTATTTTTCCCCAAGTCATTCCGTTCTGTCATTTTTCTTCGTATTGAGCGAGTCGAAAAGAGCCATCCGAGATGGCCTGGACCGCCGGGCCACCCTGAACTTTATTTACCGGGATCCAGGGGTCTGGACCAGGGGCGCAGCCACAGTTTTGTTGGGGAAGGAGGGGGCTCGGTGGAACAACTCGCGTCAATTTGTGATTTTCTGTCAAGAGCCAACGACGAAAAAGGAAAAATGTGGGCTTAATGAGCGTCATGTCCCCAGTCTGGACCTTCCGGGACCCAGCCGGGCTCTCGGGATCTCCAGCCTGGGCTGCACAGGTGCGCTGTGGTGGCTGTCAGACCGAGCTCGCTCCGGCCAGCCGGCCACATGCGATTGCGTCAGCCTCACGTTCCCCGGGCGAGAGGCAGAGGTTGGGCATAGTCATACCGCGGCGAGGTCAGCGGTCTAATGCCGAGCTCTTGGGGGTGGGGGGGGGGGGGGGGAACGACGGCCAGTGCGCCGCCGGTACCGAGCACAATCTTACTGTGCGTGTCGATGGGAGGGTAGGTCAGAAAGCCGAGATGTCCCATTGGCCGTTTAGTGCTTGATGAAGCCATTATGAAGGCCAGAACTATCAGAGTACTTACGCTGCCTGGCTCGAAGAGGCCGTTCTGGTCTCAAGAAACTGATATCAGCGGTCAACGATCTCAGGGTGTACAATTTTTTCGCAGCAATTTCGCAGCTCTGGCGGTCATCAATAGTTAATACGTTTGACGATTTCTCAACCCTATCTCCTCCCCTGGTTATACACAAGCTACGCTGGGAGGACCCCTCTCCCTAGCTACGCTGTGTTAAGCGGTGGAACTTCTCCCAAAGTACGTCTGACCGCTAACTAAGCTTGGGATGCAGAAAAATGGCGGTTTGGTCGTGAGAGGAAGCGAAGGATATCTGACTAATATGCTAATTTGTTTTCGAAGATTTGGCTTGGTTTGCAGTCGTACTTGAACGTACGTTACACTGTCCAAAAATCCCCTCCTCCCTTGCAAAGCCTTTATACACATCCCTCCTTCCGCTTCCGTTACGATCAGTTCCCCTCTCCCTTCATACGCAGTGTAATTCATGGCGGCCCCTGAAGTTGTCGCGACTCGTCACCTTGCAGGATAATTTGGTTTTAGCGTGCCTAATCGATATGTGAAGCTTGCTGCGCGTATCCTGAACGCAGGACGTAGCCAAGGGAGCGCAAAAGGGGCAGTGCCTCCCCCCCCCCCCCCTATCTGAGCCGCGAGATTTGAACCAAACACTGGGCGATTTCTCAGGAATTTGGAACAAATTTGCGAAGTTTGTAGAAAATTTGGCATTCCCTTCTAAGGAAAATTTTGGACATGAAATCTTAACTCCTTGCCCTGAGCTCACCGCTCAAGTTGTCTCCTTCAATTCAGAGGGATTCTCTCCATCCTTTCGCCACAGGGCTGAGAAGATTTACGTGTTGCACGTACCACAGCACGGAAGCCTCAGGTCCGGGGCATCCCCACTGGCCAGTTGCCCACTGATCTTTCTGTGATTATGGTCTGTACTTTAAGGGGTGCCGACTGCACAAGCCATGTGACGCCTGCAATCTTACTTCTTATTCAACAGATGAGTGCTAACGGGAAGGAGACAAGGTTGCGTCAGATATATGGGATGCACTTAAACGTCTGCAAGGAAATTTTGTCGTGATGCCAGTCCTTAATCGAACTCGAATCATCTTCCGAGATGACTAGATCGTCTGGCGCACGGACCCCGGTCCAAGCTGACGCATGCGTTTCAAAGCGAGGTGGGCGCAATCTATCAAAACATACATCAAGGTGTAACACTCCCCGCAGCGAGGACATTGCGGTTGGTCTTCCCCGCATAACAGGCATCGATGGGTCGCGTGTGCACGCCCTATTCTCAGGCGGCACAGAACAACTTCATTCCACCTCACCTTACGACAGCTGGACGCCCGCGGTCCCATTCGGGGTTTTATCCCTCTCCGCTTATGTGCAGTACGCGCACCCCAATCCACTTAACTGGTTATCCACGAGTGCAGTCGGGTGATCTTTCTGCCAGCCGAGCCAGCCTGTGCGCCCATTTTGGGGCTCGTGCCCAGTGCCATTGGATAACGGGCCCAGCATCTATCGTTCAGACCACGAGTCGCCGCAAGCTGTATAATCTGAAGGACTTGCCTGCAATATTGCAATATCACCCGTAACTACAATAACGTGGAAAATAGTTTTGCAGCTGAACGGCAGAAGAAAGCAGCGGAAGTCATGCTCACCTCTCGGATACACGTCGCCAAAGTTCAAGTCAGACGAGGCAACGCTGCGAAGAAAGCGAACAGCATCGGCACCAACACGGGTCGACGTGCGCGTACGACGATACGCTCTCGAGCACAAACCATGGATCAGCTTCTCCGGCGACGTTAGGAACTGATGCTCGATCTCAGATATCAGGGCAGATGCCGATGTGAAGCCAACGGCATGGTGTGAAGGAGAGTGCCAGCTCTCTAGCAAATCCTAAAACCGCCCAACCCATAGGCGCGCAGGCATGTCACCAACCAGCAGCCAGTCACATTGCCTGAAACCTATCCCACATACATGCTGCTGTGGCCTGACCACAATACATATATATATATATATATATATATATATATATATATATATATATATATAATATGTAGGCGTATGTGCGTGCGCACGTATTTGCGTGTTTGAGCTATGTATAGCCCACCGCCACCAGTTTTCCAACAATGTTATTTGTACATTCGTGCGAGTGTTATGTTAGTTTACTCCGCTCGTTAGCCTCCATGGAACGCAGGCCTTCCTTTTGAGACGTGTGATCACACCCGTTGACCTGGACCGCCAAAAATGCCTGACTCCATTAGCCTAGTTTTTCGCATCATCGACTGGACGGCAATAAAATCTCGCCTTAAACTGCACGAGGCGCCTTACAGATGCAGTACGGTACCGAGCTCTATCAACGAACTTGCATGCACCATTTTATTTAACAAAAACCTGTGAGCAGGTTCGTTCACCATCGGCACAAGTTCCGTAAATACTGATAGAAAATTAAATGCCAACAAACCATCACTTCCGCAACCGCAAACATATAGGGTCTCAAATCTCTGAACAGATAAAGGATTCGTGGGCGTGACCTTGCACGAAAACAATGGCGCGTGAAAGAAAGATACACGCCCCACAATGAACAAGCTGCTGCCAGGTTCCAGGTGATTGTGACCGTTGCATTAAATGATCACGTCTCCGCAGTCTGTGTTAATTGGAAACCGGGCACAAATCCAAACAGCCAAAGCCGACGACAGCGGACGTCAAATCGCACACATTGCCCACCCCCTTCACATGAGAGCCTCCCGACAGCCTTCACGATCACGATTCCGCCCCACCACTCACCGGCACGGCAGCGCCACGGCCGCCTACACCCAGTCCCGCGGGTTCTTCAGCACCTCGGTCAGCTTGGCCTCGGGCGAGCCGGCCTTGGGCGCGTGCATGTACTCCCAGCGGGCGGTCAGCGGCAGCGACATAAGGATGCTCTCGTAACGCGCGCCCGGAGGTGAACAGGCCAAACTTGGTGCCACGGTCGTAGATCAGGTTGAATTCGACGTAGCGGCCGCGCCGCAGGAGCTGCCATTGCCGCTCCGCGTAGCCGTAGCCGTCGTCCTTGTGCTGGCGAAGCAGCGGCAAGTAGGACGGCACCACGGCTTCTGCGCAGGACTCCACGAAAAGGAACGCCTTCTCTTTGCTCGGCGTATTGATGTCGTCGAAGAAGATGCCGCCGACACCGCGCCGCTCGCCGCGGTGCTTCACCTGGAAGTAGTCGTCGCACCACTTCTTGAAGCGGGAGTAGTAGGTGCGGTCGTGCCTGTCACACGCCCCCTTCAGCGTCGAGTGGAAGTGGCGGGCGTCCTGCTCGTTCAGGTAGTACGGCGTGAGGTCAGTGCCGCCACCGAACCACCAGCCCTGCGGCCGGCCGTCCTGGTCTTGCACCTCGAAGTAGCGGTAGTTGAAGTGGATGGTCGGCACGTACGGGTTGGTCGGGTGAACGACCGAACTCACGCCGGCGGCGAAGAACGGCAGCTTCTTGTCCTCGGGCAGATGCTTGCCGCGGGCGTTCATCTGCGCCACGGCCGGCGGCGGCAGCGAGCCGTGGACCACCGAGATGTTGACGCCCGCTTTCTCAAACACCTGGCCGTCCTGCAACACACACGAGATGCCGCCGCCGCCCTCTTTGCGTTGCCAGCGGTCGACACGGAAACGCGCACCGCTCGTTTCCTCGGCCTCCAAAGCGCGGCAGAACTCGGCCTGGATGCGCAAGATCAGCAGCTCCATGCGGATCTTCATGTCGTCCCGGTTCGCGACGATTTTCTCCATGCTTGTGATGGGACTGCCCATGAACTTGTCTGTATTGATGGGCTGTACTGCCTGTGCGTTATCCGCCACTGCGATTCGGCTCAGGCCGTAGCCAACGGCAGCACTGCTGGCAATGAAGCAAGTAAAGGCCTTCTGATTGCTCTTGTTCTTGACAAACCACAAGCCAGAGGCAACAATGGCACGCACAGGGCCATTCCCTATAAAAACATTCCCAAGCATGTTTGCAGGAATCCTGGCAGAGATCTGGAAACCAGTAACATAGAGCTGTGTAAACTGACCTAACCAAAATGATGGCACTATGGCATAAAATATTAGTGTTATTTGCATCCATAGCAGGAGCTCTTGTGACAGCAGGCATGTGAATTTCCTACTGCAATCATGTGATTCCAGCTAAACTAAGACTCAATAGTATGTACTACATGTTGTTTATCATAACTGTTACCAATGACTGCCTGAAAACATTCAGAAACTCTTGAACATGAGCACAGCCAAAAATATTGAGGACAATAAATAGCATTATTTGTCGCCACAACACTGTTCAACCATTATCTACTGGTATATTGAGGGTTGCTCCTCAGCATACTAATTATAGACTTCATAGTGGTTTTTCATTGGACAATGTTCATTCTGTCAGTTTAGTAAAAGCACTTTAGCAGTTGCACAAAAACCTAGAATTGTTACTTGATACATAGCATCAGGATAACCATGTTATTGTTGAACTTATCATTGAGTGACAACACATATTTAGCACACAAGTTGGAAAACAACTCTCCTGAATTTTACAACAAAAACCTATTTTCTATCTCAACAATCCATGCCTATCATCCCAAACCTAGACTTGAAATGTCAACAGTTGAAACAATTGACTCAAAAGGTATTGTTTTATATAGGTGCCATATAGTGAACTTTTATTTAGCTGCCATGTTCTCATTTTGCTTTACATTCCCCACCCAATCCCCCGCTGCTTGATGCACAGTAATGTTGTGACCATGCACAGTAATGGAGCTGGTGTCACGGGTGCTGTGTGTGAGCGGCGCTCGGGAGCTCGCCATCAGTAATTACAAAAAATTTGAAGGTAAGAGCATGAATCTACCTGTTTTGTGATTATTTATGATATGTCCTGCCTTAAACACGACAAATGGTGTACGATGATTTTTTCTCACGTTAGGTAGGAAAGTACACCCTGACCCCAGTTAGAGCTCATACCATAAAGCTTCTTTAATGCATCACCAAGGTATTCAGTAGACCAGCTTCCTTGTGATAATTTTATTCAAGAACACCTACCTCAACTTAGGATGGCAGAGAGCCTGAATCTTGATTCACATGAATAAATCCTGGTGAGGAAAATAACTTAATGATACCTCAGCAGATACCTACCTACCAACTGGTGTAAGAGGTCCGTATCTTGACTGACCTACCCACGCGTTGTAACGTCAGAACTGAGATGATGGGGTGCGGGTAAGGCTGTTATATGAGCAAGTGGGCGCGGGACCGGGATACCGAAACGGAATAAACTTAGGCTCCGTCGTCTACCCACAAGCAAGTCCAACCTCTAATGCTTGTTTTCAAGTGACCCTCTTTCTCGGTACGCGTCCGCACATTGCCTAAAAGGCGAAGTTGAGCACCACAAACCCACACAGATATGAGGAATGGCCAGCGCAACCCACCCCAACCAAAACAAACACAATACTCCACTGACAGGCAGTCTACTGCTGAATCCCTGCAGAATGTCATGGGCCAGCTGGCGTTTTTTCCAATTATTGTCCTGGGGTTAACTAGTTTATAGAAACTTATGATGACCTCTTACTATTCTTAATTAAAAATTTAATGAACAAGAAATAAATGAAATATATTGAACTTATCCGATCTGAACTACAGCAAACTTTATCTTGTACGGGATCTCGTCCTTTCTATCAGCTGATGTTTTGTGTACATTCATCTTTGGCCAGCTGATGTTTCTCTAAGGTACATTCTGAAGATAACTAACATGCCTAAAATAACATTTCTTTAAGCAAGCATAGTTTCAAATCGTTGAATTCAGAGCAAGAATATGCTGCTTCACTTTTCCAGAAGTAGTTTGGAATTACGGTGGCTGTCAGTTAACGGTGTGCATTTGTTTTTCGTACGCGCGTATCCTAGGAACCGCTGTCAACGGTGTTAGAAATAGTGCAAACCGAAACGACGTTCCCGGCTCTCAGCTGACGTTTTGTTTACATTTAAGGCACCGGTGCTTCCGGACATCTTCCTCACCGGATCGCGACCTTGCAATCAAGGCCCCATAACAACAGGTCGGGCGGCAGGATAACACTAGAGTATACTAGATTTCAAATTGGTACCGGCACGGTGATCTCATATGCTGCTTTTTATCAATTATTTTTGCAACATTGCCATTTAAATACAAATTAGTGAACACGTAATATCTGGCTAAGGATTATGGTCTGTTACAGGAAATATGTAGATTAGCATCCTTGATAGCCTAAAACTTCCTCAAACCAACCTTCTGTCGGCTTTCAACGATATGTGGGTTAACGGATCCTTCCCTCCCTCATGGCGTTCTAGCACACTTATCCCTATACTTAGGCCTTCTAAGCCTCCCTCTGACCCTTCGAGCTATCGCCCCATCTCTCTTACTAGCTGTGCTTCTAAAATATTTGAACGAATGGTCAACGGACGTATCAGGATGTTCCTTGAGTCAAATCACCTTCTTTCACCTTTTCAGAACGGCTTTCGTCCCGGCCGCTCCACGGCGGACAGCCTGGTCCACATTGTAAATTCAATTCAGCCCGGATTTCAGACTAAATCTAGTACGGCAGCACTATTCGTGGATTTAAAGGCCGCTCTCCAGAGGGTGAATACAAGTGCCCTCCTCATTAGACTACATGAAAGCGGAGTTCGCAGCCGGCTCGCCGCTTTCATTAAAAAGTTCTTAACTGATAGGACGTTTTCTGTGTGTAACGGAGATACCTATTCTTCGACGACGGAGCATGATCACGGTCTTCTTCGAGGTAGTGTTTAATTTCCAGCCCTCTTCCCTGTGATGATAACTGATGTTTTCAATAATATTAATAATACTTCTCCAGATTTTCAGTTTTTTATACACGGATGACCTGGCTGTGTGGCGCACGCATGCTAACGTCGATCACGCACCTGCCTTATATACAATTAGCTGTAAATGATATTGACTCCTGGTGTGCACGGCGTGGACTGCAGATTTCCCCCGCAAAGTCAGCTGTAATTATTTTTTTCTGGGCGAAATAATGTTCATCCTCCCACCCCCTAAATCCTAATGATGAAATAATCCCTCAAGTTGACAGTTTTGAATACCTTGGAATACCATTAGACAGTCGTCTTACTTTCAATGCTCATTTTGCTGACCTTAAGCAACGCTGCGACGGACTATTGAACATAATGAAATGCATAGCAGGGCAGGAGCGGGGTCCCGACAGACGCACTCTCCTCCCTGATACCTTATACTTCTCTGATACGCCCGATCCTGGACTACAATGGCTTTCTTTTTTATGACATTTCTTCCAAAAAAGTCAAAGCCCTGGAGACCAAACAGAACGCAGCCCTCCGCATAGTGACTGGTGCACTTCGCACCTCCCCGGTCCCAGATCTGCTCGTGGACACGAATATCCCCTCCGTATCACACCGACGAAAATTGCAACTGCTCAGATTTGACGCACGCGCCACAGCACACGTTGGTAACCCCACATACAGCACCCTCGCACACCTCCGTCCCAAGCGCACACTTACCAACGCGGAACTCCAACATCCAACCATCAGCACTCGTGTTATTCGAGCGCAGCAAGCGCTTAATCTCCCCGACATTCCATGCAGCCCAACTCCCAGTCCCCGACCCTTTTGGGGCGACCCTATACCTAATGTAATCTTTCTGTTCAAACACAAAAAACGAAACCGAAGTACACGCACTCTATGCTGAGTTCAGAGGAGAATATGACCAGCACACCTTTATTTATACTGACGGCTCTCGACTCGATGGTCGCACAGGAGCTGCCTTCGTACATCATAATTACCACAAATCAAACCGCCTGTCAAATTACAATACTGCGTATACGGCTGAACTAACAGCAATCTTGGCAGCCCTGCTCTACATCAAGGAAGGTAACCTACAAAGGGCAGTCATACGCACCGGCTCTCATTCGTCGTTACAAGCTCTCATCACTCTTCATAATTCGTCACACCCAACTTTAAACGGCATACGACGAACGCTCTGCTCACTTCCCCAACAAACTCACGTAATATTTCTCTGGATACCTGGACACACAAATATTCGTGGAGACAGCACTGCTGATGAAGAAGCAACACGAAGTCTCATGCTTCCGGAACGTAATCATCTTCATTGTCCCGTTTCTGATATTCTAGCCGCCACCAATTTACATTTCCGTCTCCTTCTCCAATCCGAGTGGGATCAACGCGCTCATCGCCGCCTTCACCCAATCAAGCCCATACTTAAGCACTGGCCGACAATTAATCAAGATAATCCCCTTAAGGAAATGCTGCTTGCCGGACTGCGTATCGGTCACACGAAAATCACCCACTGCCACCTTTTCGAACGCACTCCTCTTCCTCTGTGCCATCGCTGCGATATCCCATTCACAACAAATAACTTCCTCCTCGTGTGTCCGGTATATCAACGATCAAGGCAGCCGCTCATCAATTACAGCAACGCTAATCGGCTTCCATTCAACCTCCATTCGCTCCTCGGTGATTCGCATCCTGATTTGATCGTTTTCCTCTTTGAGTTTTTACACAGTACAGGATTAGATATTCTCATTTATATAAAGGGGTTTTCCTGCATAACTTGGCAAACATTCCAGGTTTTTCCCTATTGGCTAGGAGTCCTGGTTTTTCTTAGTTAGGACTTTCCAGGACTCAATAACATCACACAACACCACAAGGTCGTGCCGGGCAGTGGAACCCGGGACTGATCTCCCCGTTGCTGCGATGAAGCGGCTCGGCATCCATCCATCGCACAGGTCGCCGATAAGTCAGCTGAGCCAAGGCTATCGCTGACACGGACACCCCACACAGAACTCGCGACATCTCAGGAGTAAGGCGGAAGGGCCGGTGAGGATGCTCACTTGTTGTTCAAACGTACTGAATGCGTGTGGTGTCGTCATTAAATAGATATACCTACTGCTGCAGTCTGATTTACTTGCTATGATTTTGCTGGATAAAAATGAGCCAGGTTAACGAAACGTCACTTCAAAATACCCTCTCCCTTGCTTCGCGCCAGACAGCATGAACCGGTTTCAACGTAATATTTGCCTGGTCTTATATCGGAAGCAAATTCCCCGTCTCGGAGGTGACTTTAGGTCCGTCGAAGGAAAAAAGAGGCATTTCATTGGCCCACCAAAAAAAATATATGGCAGCATGCAGGGCAGCTCAGGCATTTTCCACCGTTTATTACTCGGCAACCTCGGTGAGCATTTTTGTAAGGGTAGCTACAATGATACTATCCTGGCGTTTATGTAATCATCTTCCCCAAGTTGTGTTCTGAAGTAGCCTACATATAAACAAAACATCTAATTTTTGGAACCTGCACCAGTGTTACATTTAAATTTGTCATGGATGGTCCACCTGTGTGTCCATCCAGGTGTATCTGCTTATAAGCATTGTGATTAGGATGTGTAATTTCATGTGTAATTATGTGCAATTATATTTTAAGTGCAATTTCATGTCAATAATGAAATTCCAGACGTAATAAGGTGAAACATACCATGAGCTTTCAGCATCAAGCCACGCACTGGTTGTCTTCAGGTTGTCACCTACCACGTTTTGATGTTTAAAAAACAATTATTGGCATGCAATCAATCATAATGTTTCCCATCTTTTATGACAATGATAATAATGATAACATACTACTTTGAGTGCTGCACCAGTGGTAAGTGTCTCCCCCCAAGCGAAGGCTATCCAACTGGCCACCCGGGCACATGTTAACATTGACTGCAACCGTTCCGCCTTCTCAGTGGTGGCACATTCAAATATTTCCCTTCCACTGAGCCGACCGCTCGTTTATACGTATCACCGATTTGAAGAAACCAGCATCTGGATTGCAGTTTGCCACGTTCCATAACAGTAAGGGTGATAATCACATCTTACGTTCGTAAAAGTCGCTCTTGTTGGATATAAAACATGGTATGGGGGTGCCGGCTGGTGTTGGAATATTTGACCAGCCACATTTGTTTTAGTCCCGGGTATGGCCAGGAAACAGACTGGCAAACGCCTTGAGACTTATTTTATGGGCGAGAACGGCTTAGAAGTATTCGAAAACGATTGTTAAAGAAACACGCATTGCGATGCCCTTTAACACGTAAATGCCTTGGGGCAATCCCATGGTGACGTCCCCATGGGATTGCCAGGTCTAGTCCCGACTAGGTTCTGAACCCCCGCTTGTAGCTACCTTCCAGATGAATGGCGGGGATTGAAGCGAACGAAGATCCCAGACTTATGTTCCGTCCCTGCAGGTAGCATGGCATGCATAGCATAGCATAGCATAGCATGGCAGCCTATGGCATCATGCAAGCGTTTTTCTGCATATCGACGAACGCTTGTAGTAGCAAAATAGGGTGACGGGTAAACTCGGCTCATTGCACGAAAAAACATTTCAGGCGCAGAAGAGATGAATACTATAGGTCAGGACAGTCAAATGAAAA